TTAGGGATTTACAAACCCTTTCCTCGTAAAACCCTAGTAACAGAAAACACGGGCATAGCTGTTTCCTCGTAAAGTCCTAGTAACACTGTTACTAGGACTTTACGAGGAAATAAACGCGGGCATAGCTATTTCCTCGTAAAGGTTGTTTCCTCGTAAATTCCTAGTAACAGTGTTACTAGGACTTTACGAGGAAATAAAAATACGGGCATAGCTATTTCCTTGTAAAGGCCTCGTAAACTTACTAGGTCCTTATGAGGAAACAAAATTCCCTATATAAACTCGATTCATCCGATTTCTCTCATTTGTAGTAAGCTTCTCTCTAAATCCTCTTAAGGTTCTCTCTATTTCCTAGTTAGGTGATTAGATTAGGAAATTTAGATTAGGTGGTTAGTTTAAGGAATTTAGATTTGGTGGTTAGTTTAGGTAATTTAGATTAGGTTGATTTAGTTTTTTTAACCATTGTTTAAAGATACTAATATATTAATGTTTTAATTTTCTTTTTTAAAATTTAGATGATTAGAAAGAGAAAGCTTGAGAGGGCGGTTAAGAGGCCTCTTCAGGGGAGTCATTACGGAGATCTTTTCGGTCGTCAGCCAGGCGCATCATCTTCGTCTGCTCCCGGTTCTTCTATTCCGGATCATGACGCTGTTCCCGAGACTCAGGGACTTTCTACGGCTCCCCGGTATGACCAACCACCTCCTCCTCCTCCTCCACCGGTCGCCGGGGTTCATCCCGATTTGGAGGTGACGCCAAATGCCCCATTTGCGGTGTACACGGTCGAGGATATTAGGGCCCTTCCAGGCAGAGAAGGGCTGCCTGAGTTAGATCCTATTCGATGGGACGGCCACAACATATTATGGTATGTTTTAATTTTTAAAAAGAGTTTTTAATTTATTTCTTAATTAACCAATAATTTACAAATTAATCTAATTACTGTTTTTATTTTGTTTTTTTTCCAGTTTTGGTCTTGACAGATGTGCCGCTCAGATCGGCACGGATTGTATCAAGGGATACTTTCCCGATGCAGCTCCAAACTGGAAGAAGAAGCCCAGCCACAAAACAAAAAAAGACGTGGTTCAAATCGTTCGATGTAATTCATTAATGAATCAACTTAATTTATTTTTAATTATTTAAAATTATTAATTTTTTTTGAACTAATTACTCTAATTCTTTCTGGTTACAACAAAAATATCGTTGGTCTATAGGGATTCACCAGCGGGTGAAGACGGAGTTTGAGGCGAAGGCAAGAGCACGATTGCTCGACATGGTCTACAACTGGAAGGACGACTTTCAGGTGTGGAATTATAAATTATATATATATACATAGTTTTAAATCATTTATTGACTTTAATTCAAATCAATTTAAAATTATTTTTTGTTCAACGTGGATGGTTACGAGGAGGGGAAACCCGATTGCCTCACATTCGACGTGTGGGATGGCCTCATCAGATATTGGGGGTTGCCGGACTCGGTCAGAACCTCCTAGACAAACTCCGAGAACCTCATGACGAGACGAGCATGGCAACACGAAGATGCTTTACACCGGGGATCGAAAACCTCACGGGGGAATCCGTCTAGACATGGTAAATTAATTTTTAATAACTATTTAATTTTAATCTATTTGTATCTTCTTAAATAATATTTATTTTTAAAAATTATTTTTAGGTTAAAGAGACAGGAGTTCTTCCATCTCTGAAAGAGCTTTACGAGAGGACCCACCGGAACAAGGCTGGCATTTTGTAGATCCTAGATCCGAGCGGATCTACAACGAGGTTGTTGCTCGGGCAGACCAACGCCAAACCCAGCTGACTCAGCAGTCTGGGACACCAGTCATATTTTCCACTCTTGAAGTGGATAAGATTAACGAGGAGGTAAATAATTTGTTTTTCTATTAATTTTTATTAGTTTTTTAATTTATTTTTTTAACGTTATTAATCTTTTTATTTACAGGTCGCCCCTAGGAAAAAGAGACGTATCGTCGGGATTGGTTCCGTTAACGATGTCCCCACAGAGACATTGTCTTATGCTCAGGAACATCACGATGTCACTGCTCAGCTGCGCTCGGAATTGTAGGCGACGCAGTCTCATGTGAGTTCTCTCACCGATGTCCTGGACGTTTTGGCGGTTGGAAACCCGCAATTGGCAGAGATGTTGCGTGTGAGACGGGAAAACGGAGGGCTTCCAACCCAACAGCATCATCCACCGTCACAGTCACAGCCGACGGAGGAGGAGTTGGCGAGCCGGGACGACTTTGTTCGGCAATTTAACGAGCACCATCCGTAGTTTTTTTAAATTTTTAATTGTATATTATGAATTTTAAAACTTAAATATTTAGTTATTTATAAAATATTTAGTTATTTCTTTTTTATTTATAATTTGGTTTTTTTTAATTTTCTAAAATATATTATTTAAATTTATAATTAATATTTTTTAATAAGGAAAAAACATTTCGAAGTAAACTCCTCGCAATATTTTCGAAGTAATGTCCTCGTAAACATTACTAGTAAGTTCCTTGTAAAGCAATACTACGAGTTTACGAGGAAATGTGTTACTATGACTTTACGAGGAAAAGTGTACGAGGACTTTACGAGGAAATACGTATCCACGCGTTTATGAGAAAAAAATTCCTCGTAAATTAGCTACGACCTTACGAGGAAAAAGACTTTACGATGAACGTGTTTCGAGGAAACGGGTTTCCTCGTAAGTTCCTAGTAATTGACCATTTACTAGGAACTTACGAGACAAAGTGGTTATAGTGAAGGATGAGTTTTCTTGTAGTGCTACAAGAGAGTTATTGGATCAGGAGACAACTGGGTTTATATATGATAATCTTGTGTAATAAGTAGTCTTCTTTCTGTTCTTTTTTTTTGTCTTCTTTCTTTTGGTGTGCTGAAAAATCTATTAAACAACATTCGATTTCATGACCAATGCAGTAAACCGGTTTTTCTATTTTTTTGAACTAAGGAAGCTGGGAGATCTTTTAGCGTTGATTTATGCAAAAGCTAGAAGAAACGAATAGATTAACAGCCTGTTATTGTTTCTTGGAGCACTATAGCTATATATAGTTTTTTCACAGAGTTGCTCTCTGTGTGAAATAATCAAAGTCATAGACTAACATCAAATCAAAGATTCTATGACAAATGCAAAAAATACTCCTGTCATAGGTAGAGACATTATTATTTTTATTTTTTTGAAACAAGGTAGAGACATTATAATATCAGTCAGCAGTTTGATAAAAAACTGAAGTGGAAATCTATATGAAGTTTACTTTATTTTAGTGTAGCTTGTGTGGAAAGTCATCATCCCAGTGCCTCGTTGGCCTCTTGGTCAACTAGGTAGATTGCTCTCCTCTCCTTTGCAGGTAATGAAAAACAAGTCTCAGCGTTGCCTCCTCTCCTGCCCATATTCTGGCATTTTTTACGCTATAGATCGACATCTTCTTCTTTGTGAGATCCTTCTGATGGTTCTCATCGGTGGGTGCGTGTGAGGAATTCCCTTCCTTTGGTCTTGTCAACTTAGTGGAGTGGATTTCTGTGGCAAACTGGCAATGCGTGTGAAGGCTTGAGGGTGTATCCACCTCTTTTTATAGACTTTATTTTCCATTGGTTGGTGTGGAGCTGTGGCAACATGGTCGTCTCTCTTGCCCAATAAATGCGTTGGTGTGGTCTTACTCTGTGATGGTGTCCCTGCGGTAGTGGCTTCCCCGGTTTGGAGGTTTGTATGGGTTAGTTGCTCATCTTTTATTGAGGCGAGCACCGGGAATGGGCCAAATCTCCCGGATTCGTGCTCACGAGCTTAAAGCGACTCTCTTCCATCCAACGGCTGCAATTGGTGTCTCTTGCTTCCTCTCCCTACAATCGAGGCAATGCTATGTGATTGATGTTTTGTGTGGTGAGGCTTTCCTGTGTTTTTAGTTTCTGTTTTTTGATGTTGTTGTTTTGTTCTTAGTTTTTTTTTTTCAGAGTTTTTTTTCTGTGTTTCTTAGTTTCTATTTTGTTCTGTCAAAAACTCGAAAATGGTAAATATATTCAACATTTTTACCAAAATAAAAAGTTTACTTTATTTTATGTTGATAGATTTTATGAACAACATAGTTTAAGAAGAAGAGACTTTGGGAATTTTATTTGCAATCGTAATAACTAAATATTGTTGCTCTAAAGATTTTTTTTTTTTTGGTTTGACTACTTCTTTTTCTAAATTTGAAAACAAATTGTAAATTGGGTTTATATTTTTGTCAAAAGAAATCGCAACAAGATTCAAATAGCTATGTATACCAACTTTCTTGTGTGATTCTTCTGTCGTTTTCATTTATGTATACAAATAGAAGAGAACAAAATTTGATAAAAATGTTTTTTTAGAAAAGAGAGAAAATTTGGTAAAATATTTAACAAAATAGGTAATTTTTTTTGTCAACAAAAAGTAGGTAGATTAATTGTCAAATATGTATCGAAACAGTCACTTTCATATTAAAAATTTACACACATAAATCAAAAGCCTTAACTTTTTGGTATATGTGTAAGAACTAAAAATTAAATTCAAAAACATTATAGTTTCAAAAAGTTGGTATTTGATAACCTACTAACCTCTAAATAGTAACCGTATCAAACAAGTTGAAAATCATTTCCTACTTATGTTCCCTTTTCTTTTCAACCTTTTTTCTATTTATAAAAACACTACAGTATTAACGAGCTGACTTTTCAACGCTCTCCGATCGCTAGATCCAAACTACATCAACGGCCAGGACAATAGATCACAAGTCATGTACCCTGATATCACGCCACGTGTAAACAACACTACTAACTCACCACCATCACCGACAAAACCGAGTGAAAATCAGACCATCTTAACTGTAATGTCAAATCTTGTAATATTATTACTTCGTGTCTGAATATTCCTTTTATATCAAGTTCGAATCTTCATTAATGGAAACTCAGATCTTCTCTTAAAATACCACCGATTAGATTTTTATCAAACAGAGAGAATCTCTACGGAGAAAGAAGATGATGGAGAGGTGTTTAGGAGCTCACCGGTGCCGGAGAATCCAGAGAGCTTTGCGTCACTTAAAGGTAACGGTTCTCTGTCTCGTTCTCACCGTAGTCGTCCTACGTGGCACAATCGGCGCCGGTAAATTCGGTACTCCGGAGCAAGATCTCGACGAGATCCGTCAGCATATCTACACATCTCGTAAACGAGCCGAGCCTCACCGTGTACTCGAAGAGATACAAACCACCGGTGGCGATTCATCTTCCTCCGGCGATGCAAACTCCGGCGGTGGCGGGAGCAATAACTACGAGACATTTGACATCAACAAGATCTTCGTTGACGAAGGGGAAGAAGAGAAACCCGACCCGAATAAGCCGTACACTCTCGGCCCCAAGATATCCGATTGGGATGAACAGAGATCCGACTGGCTAGCTAAGAACCCTTCCTTCCCCAACTTCATCGGACCAAACAAGCCACGTGTCCTCCTGGTGACCGGTTCCGCGCCGAAACCGTGTGAGAATCCTGTCGGAGACCATTACCTATTGAAGTCGATCAAGAACAAGATCGATTACTGTAGGCTTCACGGGATCGAGATCTTCTACAACATGGCTTTACTAGATGCTGAGATGGCTGGTTTTTGGGCCAAGTTGCCGTTGATTAGGAAGCTTTTGCTTTCTCACCCTGAGATTGAGTTTCTTTGGTGGATGGATAGTGATGCTATGTTTACGGATATGGCGTTTGAGCTTCCATGGGAGAGGTATAAAGATTATAACTTGGTGATGCATGGATGGAATGAGATGGTTTATGATGAGAAGAATTGGATTGGGTTGAACACTGGGAGTTTCTTGCTTAGGAATAATCAATGGGCGCTTGATTTGCTTGATACTTGGGCTCCTATGGGTCCTAAAGGGAAGATCCGTGAGGAAGCGGGTAAGGTTTTGACCCGTGAGCTCAAGGGTAGGCCGGTTTTCGAAGCTGATGATCAGTCTGCTATGGTTTATCTCTTGGCTACTCAGCGAGACACTTGGGGAAATAAGGTACCAATACTTATTAAGTCTACAGCTGTCGGTTTTCTTGCTCATTAAATCGCAATGTGAGTTGCATCTTGTCGGTTTATAGCATTACATAGATATCGGTTATTTGCTCACGAGTTACCATATGAGCTGCATTGTGGTTTTATAGCTTCTCTTGATTACATAATATAGGTTTTTTGCTCACAAGTCGCAATGTGAGTTGCATCTTCCGGTTTTATAATGTATCTTGTTTCACATCAAGATTGGATTTGTATTCACAAATCACACAAGTAGAGTTACATGCTTGTGGTTTTGACAGCTTTCTTGATCACATATCGTTTTTGCTTATAATCGTTTTTTGAGTTGCATATTTTCGGTTTATAACATCCTCACCACATAAAGATTGCATTCCTCATCACAAATGACACAATGTAAGTTGCATCTTTTGGTTTTGCTCTATTTTTATTTGAATTGCTGGTATTGTTATAGGTATACCTAGAAAATGGATACTATCTTCACGGTTACTGGGGGATTCTCGTGGATAAATACGAAGAAATGATAGAAAACTACCATCCGGGTCTAGGCGATCACAGGTGGCCATTGGTTACTCACTTTGTGGGTTGCAAACCCTGCGGGAAGTTTGGAGATTACCCGGTGGAACGGTGTCTAAAACAGATGGACAGAGCCTTTAACTTTGGGGATAACCAGATTCTGCAAATATATGGTTTTACTCACAAATCTTTGGCTAGTCGCAAAGTCAAGAGAGTGAGGAACGAGACTAGCAATCCACTTGAGATGAAAGACGAGCTTGGGTTGCTTCATCCGGCGTTTAAGGCTGTTAAGTTACAAACCAACCAAGTTTGAATGCGTTTAGGCTTTTGTGTTCTGTTTCTTGCTATATTCATAATGTCTTTGCTTGTTGTTGTACTAAGATGGATGAACAAAAGTATTGTGCAAGAGACATCGGTTTGTTTATTTTTTGTCTGTCTACCGTTCTTTATCGAATTCAAATGTTGTGTCTTTTTTATAGAACTTGAGATTTTGTATCTTTATAAATCAATAATCAATTGATGACAAAAAAAGAAAAATCAATAATCAATTTTAATTAAAGAAAACTTTTAACCTGATCTACAATATGATTATATCAATCAACTAATAATTGTTTTTTTCTGGTATACAAGTTGTAATGGCACAAACTTGTGAAGGATCTCCAAACTATACTAATTTAGTACCTTCTTTGACCAAAACTGAAGTTTAATTAAGGAATATCAAAATACTTGTTAGATCAACTGGAAAAATAATACTGCAAAACTTAGAAGCGGAACGAGTGATGTTTTGATTAACATTTGTGAATTCTTTACATGAATTTGTATCAGTCAGTTTGGTGGTGATTGTTTTTTTTTTTTAAAGGATATAACATGACGGTCACAACCACCTTGAATGAAAAAAACAAAATATTAGAGAATACATTAATTGGGCAATCTGTTCCTAGACTTTTGTATTAAAAATATGTAATAATACACTCAGTTATCTGTGTGGACTTTGTTAAGAGTTATTATTAAAAATTGACTTTAAAAAATTACAAAATGGAAATTGTAACTTGATAAGTAACATTTTGATAAGGCACTGTGGTAAAGCCATTGGTAAGAAAGAAGACCACAAATCCCAATGGCACAAGCTCCAAAAATTTCGAACCAATGAAATTTTTCACTATAGTTAGTTGAGTTGTTGGTGGCATGGATATATTTGATTAAGCTAACGAAAAGAAATATACATGGCAGAATCATAACTCTCGAAGGAGAAGTAATCAGTGACACTGGTTTTCTTTCCACTTTGTCCAAATGTAATTCATATCTGACGCATCACAAGAGGTTATATTGAACAATCTTAAGTGCCTTAAAAATTGTTTAACAATCAAGCAAAAAAACTAAAAATTTTGAAAGAAATGTCATCACATTCATCAAAAACGCAAACTGACCCAACGCAGCCTTGACATGACATACCAACTTTAATGAAAACGGTCTGTGTTTATTAGGCATTTTGTTCCCGGTAAGATTTTATAAGTAAGAACATGTGAAGTTTAATTAAGGAATACTTGTTAAAAACATGGCATGTATATTTCTTTTCGTTAGTTTTTGGATTTTATACATTCAGGGTGTTACTTGTCACAGTCATTAAGTACATGTAAACAAATGACAAAGTTTTTTAAAATATTATCCCAGCATTGGCATTGTTGCATTTTTATCCTAACGGAGAAGTGGCAACTCTCCTCTTACCTGCTGGATCCCTTTGATCACTTTTGCGCAAACACATTTTCTTGAGTTATTCTGAACATCTTTCAGAGCATCGTTTAGCATTTGATGTACCAACTTTCTGTCAGTCACCTCTTTCACTCTCGTGTATCTATCTGAACCATCCCCACCAGGCACATGTATCATCCATCTACTACATTCGTCACATCTAAAATCTCTCCGGGGAACTTCATAAAACCTCACCGTATCTCCATCTTTCTCGATTCTGAGTCGTCTAGTCCTAAACCCAAGGTTCGAATCAGGAAGCACCCATGTAGAACATATTAAAATCTGATCATTTAAGTACTTGTCACAGTCGAAGAGAATACTTGATAAAAGCATGAAAATATTTTATACTAACTTAGTACCTTCTTTGACCAAAACTGAAGTTTAATTAAGGAATATCGAAATACTTGTTAGATCAACTGGAAAAATAATACTGAAAAACTTAGAAGCGGAACGTGTGATGTTTTGATTAACATTTGTGACTTCTTTACATGAATTTGTATCAGTCGGTTTGGTAGTGATTGTTTTTTTTTTTAAAGGATATAACATGACGGTCACAACCACCTTGAATTAAAAAAACAAAATATTAGAGAATACATTAATTGGGCAATTTGTTCCTAGACTTTTGTATTAAAAATATGTAATAATACATACTCAGTTATCTGTGTGGACTTTGTTAAGAGTTATTATTAAAAATTGACTTTAAAAAATTACAAAATGGAAATTGTAACTTGATAAGTAACATGGTTTTGATAAGGCACTGTGGTAAAGCCATTGGTAAGAAAGAAGACAACAAATCCCAATGGCACAAGCTCCAAAAATTTCGAACCAATGAAATTTTTCACTATAGTTAATTGAGTTGTTGGTGGCATGGATATATTTGATTAAGCTAACGAAAAGAAATATACATGGTAAAATCATAACTCTCAAAGGAGAAGTAATCAGTGACACTGGTTTTCTTTCCACTTTGTCCAAATGTAATTCATATCTGACGCATCACAAGAGGTTATATTGAACAATCTTAAGTGCCTTAAAAAAATTGTTTAACAATCAAGCAAAAAAACTAAAATTTTTGAAAAAATGTCATCACATTCATCAAAAACGCAAACTGACCCAACGCAGCCTTGACATGACATACCAACTTTAAGGACAACGGTCTGTGTTTATTAGGCATTTTGTTCCCGGTAAGATTTTATAAGTAAGAACATGTGAAGTTTAATTAAGGAATACTTGTTAAAAACATGGCATGTATATTTCTTTTCGTTAGTTTTTGGATTTTATACATTCAGAGTGTTACTTGTCACAGTCATTAAGTACATGTAAACAAAATGACAAAGTTTTTAAAAATATTATCCCAGCATTGGCATTGTTGCATTTTTATCCTAATGGAGAAGTGGCAACTCTCCTCTTACCTGCTGGATCCCTTTGATCACTTCTGCGCAAACACATTTTCTTGAGTTATTCTGAACATCTTTCAGAGCATCGTTTAGCATTTGATGTACCAACTTTCTGTCAGTCACCTCTTTCACTCTCGTGTATCTGTCTGAACCATCCCCACCAGGCACATGTATCATCCATCTACTACATTCGTCACATCTAAAATCTCTCCGGGGAACTTCATAAAACCTCACCGTACCTCCATCTTTCTGGATTCTGAGTCGTCTAGTCCTAAACCCAAGGTTCGAATCAGGAAGCACCCATGTAGAACATATTAAAATCTGATCATTTAAGTACTTGTCACAGTCGAAGAGAATACTTGATAAAAGCATGCAAATATTTTATACTAACTTAGTACCTTCTTTGACCAAAACTGAAGTTTAATTAAGGAATATCGAAATACTTGTTAGATCAACTGGAAAAATAATACTGCAAAACTTAGAGGCGGAATGAGTGATGTTTTGATTAACATTTGTGAATTCTTTATATGAATTGATATAGGTTGGTTTGGTGGTGATTATTTTTTCTTTAAAAGATATAACATGACGGTCACAACCACTTTAAATGAAAAAAAAAATATTAGCATTATACATTAATTGTGCAAACTGTTCATAGATTTTTGTATTAAAAATATTTAATAGTACATACTCAGTTATCTTTGTGGACTTTGTTAAGAGTAATTATTAAAAATTGACTTTAAAAATAATTCGCAAAATGGAAATGTAACTTGATAAGTAACATGGTTTTGTTAAGGCACTGTTGTAAAGCCACTGGTAAGAAAGAAGACCACAAATCCCATTGGCACAAGCTCCAAAAATTTCGAAACAATAAATGTACATGGTAGAATCATAACTCTCGAAGGAGAAGTAATCAGTGACATTGGTTTCCTTTCCACTTTGTCTAGATGTAATTCATAGCTGATGTATCACAAGAGGTTATATTGAACAATCTTAAGTGTTGTAAAAAGTGTTTAACAATCAAGCAAAGAAATTTCAGCCCTAAAACCTTCTCCCAGACCTGACTCCCAACGCGCCGCAACCAAAGTTTTCCCGACTCTGTTACCTCCGGCTGACGCTGACCCTGGTGGTTCCGTAGTCTTGGCCGTGTGATTGGCTCTGCGTCGAACCCTTCTCCTGCCTCTGGCCGTGAGGATAGGGCCGACGAAAACTCAAGTCTCGTCACCGCTTTATCTCTTTTTCTACTTTCTGATGTCTCTCTCGCTGCTATCTTCCCATCGCCATGATGTTCTGCCTAATCTCTCACCGACCCTCAAAGATTCCTCACCATTTCTAACTGTCACCTTTCACCTTCTCCCCGCTGTTCACCAGACCTCTCCTTCACGTGCCACTCCTCTCCATCTCCATCTCAGATTTCAAGAAGCTCGCCGCTACTGCTTGGAGGCAGGTTTCTCACATGATTCTGGTACTTGATCTGGTTGATTTCCTTCTATGGAGTGTTTTTTGTTAAATTGCAGATATACCTCTTGGATGTGGTTTCAGATCTTGTTTATCGCCAGATCTTCGACTTCCTTGTTGTCATTGCTTTTGTACCAGTACCCTTGTGTTGCTTGGTCAGTATATGGATTGGAAAGGTTGGTCGGATTCACTCTCTATACTCTTCAAAGGCTCAACATTTTGGTACAAGTTTACCTATGTTAGTGTAACCGATATTAAAATTGTTATTCCCACAGTAGTTGTGGTACCAATCACAGGCATTAAATCACTGAATGTGTTCATTATGTTCCTTGGCGTCATTCCACTACTTAGGCCTAATGTTGTCGAGATATGAGGACATCTTTACAATGTTTGTGGCTTATATACAGTGTCTGCTTCTATCTTCTGTTTTTATGGTTTTCGTTTGCCTGTTGTTGCAGCGGATTTGTTAGCCGTGATGGTTTTATTATCAGCTGTTGTAAACAATTTCTCCTTTCAAGGAGAGTAGTTATTTATAAAATCTTGTTTGACAAAAAAAAAACAATCAAACAAAAAATTAAAAATTATGAAAGAAATGCCATTGCATTCATCAAATTACTGTATGCAATAAAATATAAATTATCTTACATTAAAAAATCAACATTACTGTTGCTCATGTTCAGTGGAGTACAAACGACCAAAAATAATCTTAACAAAGTCCACACGGATAACTTGATATGTATACTTGCATATTATCACTGCAAAAATCTAGGGAAAATTGCCAAAACCAACCTAAAATTTCATTTCAACCCTAAATGTGTACCCCTTATTGAGTCAAATGCAAAACTAACCTAAAGGGGTTGTGAAGTTACTATTTAATCCTTGTGACCAAACAAAAAAACAGACAGTTATTTTACGGTTCTGTCCTTTGAAAGTCTACACGTAATATAGAGAAGTCTACACATTTGTAAACCTCCTTAGAAGTATACTTTGTAGACGTATTCTATAGTCTACATCATCAGTTGATATTATATTTAATTTTAAAAATGTACAAAAATAATGTTTGGGAAATTTTAAATAAACCATGAATATAAAGATTATTATGAAATATATAAATTAAAATTTCATATAAGTGAAAAATTTAATAGAATTTATATTGAATTGGTAACCATGTGAAAGGTAATGTGTTATGGTTTCCCAACAAAATGTTATAACATGCAATGTCTTTTAGGGTTAGACTCATATATTAGGGTTAAATATTTGATTTTATTTTTGTTTTTTTGACACACTAATGTTGAGAAGTTTATTTTATCTATATTTAGACATTTAATATAATAATTAAGACATTTTTGATTATCAAATAAACATTTAGGGTAACATATTTGTGGTTTAGGGTTATAGTAAACTTACAATAAAGTCTACTTACATTTAGGGTTTGCTCAAACAATAAAGCAAAAAAAAAAAAAAAACGGAGTTGTAGACTTACAGAAAAGTTTACACACTGATACCAAATTGACCTAACCGGATTTAACCAAGTTTGATTTTTAACTTAATCGAAATTTAACCAAACCAATTTAACCTAACCGAAAAAATTACACAGCGTATAAGTATTTTTTTTTGGGAAACCCTTATCACGCCGTTTAGATCTGAGGCGATTTAGGGGGTGATTTCCAGTGAGATTTCCGGCGAACCCTCTTTGACTCCGTTTTCACCGCTTAAACTCGACGCTTTCCACTCCGTCGCTCTGTATCTTCTCTCTGGTAAGTTATTATGTTCGGTTTCTTGCCTCACGCTTAATCTCACTCAATAAAGTAACCGCCTTCATCATTTTTGTTTCAGATCTGAGCGGCGAACGGTAGTTTACCTCTCGACGGCGAACGAACGGTGGTTCTTCTTTCGTCAATCTCTTTACTTCCGGTCAGTCTCACGGCTTCTACTTGATATGATGCATATTTACATAGTTTTAACATTTCATTTTGTACATAAATCATCATATAGATTTAGGTTTAGGCATCTTTAGGTCCATATTGCATTCATATGTCCTTAGTAGGTTTGGAGTAGTGCTAATGTTGATTTGGAGCCTAGAGAATCACAAAAAGTCCAAAGGAGTGAGAGTAGTGCAGTAGCAGGCAACTGTAGCAGGCTAAAGATGGCCACGACGTCGCCGCAGGCAACCGTAGCAGGATATAGATGGCCGCGACGTCGCCGCAGGCAACCGTAGCAGGATATCGATGCCCGCGATGGTGTTACGACGAATTGGACAGGGAGATTTCGCAGGCTATTTCGCAGGATGTGAAGGCCGCGGCCAAAATGGGTGCATCGCAGGCTAGTGGCGCGACCAAGAGGAGGTTGGGGCCATGTCATGGATTTTAGCTTAATATAAATATGTATTAGACATTAAGTGGATGATATCTTCTTTTCTCTCAAAAAAACACATTGGAAAGTTGAATCCTTGATTAATATAATCTTAGTTTCTCGAGTAATTTGGAGTTTATCTCTTCTTCTAATCATGATTAGTCTTCTATCCATCATGGATTTAAGATTAAACATGAATATTAGTGAGTAGACTCTCTTTGAGCTTATGGGTTAGGGTGATTAGGGTGATTAAGTGATGATCTAGGGTGATTAGTGTTAGATCCTTCTTGTCCTATGCTTATTACTTATTCTCAATACTAGATTAGACCTAATCCTTCTAAACTAGATCATTAGGCATTTCATGCCCACAAGGTGTATGATGAAATGTCTGAACCAAAGTAATAATGCTTTTTGCTTGCTTAACCAAGGACACTTCATGTTAGGAAAGCTTAGATGGTTAGTAGACTTATTCTCAATGATTTCTTGATTGATTTAGACCAATGACCATTTGTGTATAGAGATTGATAGTAAATGAGCTTTTACCTTGACCAAGGACTAGCTTAGGATTGTGTCTAGACCTTAGGATATGAATGATTGCTTGAAACCTCACCCTAGATAGTAACTTGATCACCCAAAGTCAATACCTTTACCCATAAGTTCTTTGATCTCATTTAAACCAAAGCTTAGTTATTCTTGTTTACATATAGCTTGTTACTAGTTACTTATAAAACAAACCCTCATTGATTGCATTTAGATTTAGCAATGTCTTGCATTCTCTTTGTCCAATAGCTCTCAGGATTGGATTGACACTCTACTTACCTTACTACATTGATTTGCTCTAAGGCCTAAAAAGCCTTATCAAATTTGGCGCCGTTGCCATTTCTGAGTTGTTTATTGACATTGAGATTTAGTCATTGCTTGAGACTAAATCTTATTTACTTGTTTTAGTTACTGATTTCTTCTTCTTTGTATCCCTTTGATTGGTTGCAGGTGTATGAACCTAAGAAGTAGAGGAGCTGCAAACCTCTTACCTGAAGCTCAAGACATCCAAGTTCTTGAGAGAGAGTTGATAAGAAGAAGAAGAGTATAAGAGAGGCTAGCCCAACTAGAAGATTTGGGGCTAGAGATGGACAGAAACAATAACTTACCTCAAGAGGAGGTTGTCCTTCCTCAAGAAGGCATTGGTCAAGGAGCTGCCAACCTTAGACCAAACCGCCAGCCAAGAAGTATTGGTGCTTATGATGAGCCTCATATCCATGGGAGTAGGATGGGTATTAGAGCTCCAGCTGTTCAGAACACCAACTATGAGATTAAGTCCAGCCTTATCAACATGATCCAAAGCAACAAATATCATGGTCTTGCCCTTGAAGATCCTCTAGACCATCTTGATAGCTTTGATAAGCTATGTGGGACAACAAAGATCAATGGTGTTTCTGAAGATGATTTCAAGCTGAGGTTGTTCCCGTTCTCTTTGGGAGACAAAGCCCACACTTGGGAGAAGAGCCTTTCAAGAGACTCTATCACCACTTGGGATGAATGTAAGAAAGCCTTTCTCACCAAATTCTTCTCTACTTCAAGGACAGCTAAGCTTCGAAATGAGATATTTGGTTTCATTCAAAAGAACCTTGAAGGCTTTGGTGAAGCATGTGAGAGGTTTAATGGCTTCATCACTCAGTGTCCTCATCATGGTTTCAGTAAGGAGAGCTTGCTTAGTACATTCTACAGAGGAGTCTTGCCAAAGTATAGGAGCATGCTAGACACTGCTAGCAATGGTTTCTTCTTGGGAAGAACTGAAGCTGAAGCTTTAGAGCTTGTGGAGAACATGACCAAGAGTGACTCAATTTACAATGATGAGTTTGATAGAATTAATAGAGATGGTGGTGAAGACACTAGAAGGGATCTGAAATCTCTTGAAGAAAAGATTGACAAGCTTGAGTTCCTTCTTTCACTCTCAATCAAGCAAGAGAAGGTAAACCTTGTGGGTGCTCAAGAGGATACACCTGAGTTGAATGTTGTTGAGGGTATTGAGGAAAACCAAGAGGTATGCTTCATCAATGCCAATGGATCTTGGTATAGGAAGGAACCACACTTCCATTACCAAAATCACCAATACCAAAAACCTCCCTACAATCCCAATTACCAAACAAACCAAAACAACCAAGCTCCTCCACACCAAGATAACCCTTCTCCCTCTCCTACTAAAGAGGCTGACACTGAAGCCATATTGAGAACCATCTTAGAATCTCAGCAGAGGCAAGAGAAGCATATTGGATTTGAGTTGAGAAACCTCAACACAAAGATTGATGGAGCCTATGGTGAGCTTAACAACAAGTTTAAAGCCTTGGAGAATCAGTTCTTTTCTATGACCTCCACCTCTCAATGCCCAGGGAAAGAACATTGCAATGTTATCCTCTCCAATGCTACCCCTAAGTTTGACTTGACTGATCATAAGAGAGAGGTAGATGAGATTGAAAGACTATTGTATGGCTCTGAATTTCTGCAAGATGAGAACAAGAGTGTAGACACGGCTGATGTTCAGATTGTGGAGAAGGCTAAGGCTAAGGTCGTGGGCAGTGGTAAACTCCAAGCTTTGGCAAAAGTTGCAACCAAGGTGGATCAGAAAGATAAGACAGAGGTTGTGAAACAAGCTTCGCACAAGGCTGAGGTTCTGGTTGGTAATGAAGCTGTCCAGAAGTTTCAAAGGTTGGGATTGAAGGATCCAAAGAGTTTAAGCTTGAAGAAGACAAGGAGGTTCAGATATCTCCCTATGATAAACTCCCTTTCCCAAAGAGGATCATCACCAAAGATCAAAAGAAGGTGATCTCCAAGTTTAGGAAGGAATTGAGTGATGTTGAAATCAATCTCCCTAAGATCTCCAATATGCAAGAGGCTTGTGACCAGCTAGTGCTCATAAAAGACATTATCGCCAACAAAGAAAAGGTGGCAGAGCTTCTTGACATCTCTTCCTCTTTGCTGGATCCTAAACCTCCACCAAAATCTCTACCCAAGCTAGAAGATCAA